ATCTTAGCCATACATTATCCCAACATCACATTTGGCAACAGGAAGCCTTATAAAATCTTGGTATAGCACTTAGATTCTCTTCTGTCTCTCTCTTCAAGAAATATAGTATTATACTATCTACCTTTCTCCATCTTTGTTAAAATAACCCTTTCTGCTCTTTTTTCCCCCTAAGATTCCCTTAAAGAAAGCTAAATAAAGCATCAAGACTCTAGGAAATGTTCTTAAGCATCTTTGTTAAGAGTTAGGGGGAGAAGGCTAATGTCAACTCTAGAAGAATTTGTGCAGTTTTGGCAACTGAGTTTTAAATTAAGATTCTATGAAGATTCCTGATAAATGATTGCTAATATATACATACCAAGGAACTTAAATCAGACCAACAAACTGCCTTTTTCTCTAACCCAAAGTTCTTGCTCAAAGTGCTTTTCTTTCCAGTCCTCAGACTGCTTTGAGATTATTTAGCACAGGTTTGTCAACATAGATCTATTTATGTTTTCTCCAAACCTGCTGCTTTTCTTTCCTTGTTAAAGCCCATATCAAAAGTTACATCTCCACGTGTTTTATCTGGTTGACTTAAATGTAATTGTCCACAGCAGGAATCAACTATTTTGTTGGAACTGCTGCAAGAGAGTTGGGAGGAAACCTAGTGTCCCCCGACCCCCTAGGGTTGGTGCACAAATAGATCTTGCCACTTCATTTAGTCACTAATGGGCCACTTTCTCAACCATCACTTAATTATATTACTATACAGAAATAGCAGCTGATACTGACACCTTACTTAGGTTCAAGGTATTTTGGAATTTATTAATAATTCTTTGTATATTTCCTTTGTATCTTTTGATCTTCCTCTCTCTCAACTTTGTAAAGCTATTTTTTTCTAATTCTCCAGTGTGGTGAAATTACCTTTTGTATGAGGACAGTCATTGTTTTAATATTAAAGTTAAAAGCTTGGTGCCTTATTAATTTCCTTTTTAGATTGTTATTAGTCCAGTTTGTCAAGGTGAAGATAATCTGTCATTTTTCAAAATGGATTTGGAGTACATTACCAAAAGATACAGTGTATGTTTAGAACAGAGGTTTGATAGCAGACTTAGAAACACCCCAATGTGTTTTTCTTAAACCACTGTATTTAACTAGTTTGTTTACAACACATGGCACCTTTTGAAGGAGAAGAAAATATTGTTTCCTTATAGATTATAGGACATCAAATCATACTTATGCTACTGACTTTGCTCTCCTTAGAGCCACATCCAGCACTTCCCAAATGGATGGACATTAACTGTGAAATGTAAGTTTCCAAAGCTGACAACACCTCTCTGTGACCCTTGATGTAAGAAGCCATCTTGTTACTGTGCAGTTAATAAAGGGAGAGGGCAAGTAGAAGCCACTTAGGGCCCCTCAAAGACATAGAGGGGGAAGAAAGATATGAGAGGAAAAAGAGGAGAAAATGGTGTGTGGGGGGTGGGGGGAGCCAGGAGGGAGGGAGCGAAGGGAGAGAAGGGGAAGGAGGGACAGAAGTGGGGGAGAGTTGTGAATGTGTATACACATCAGGGAACTCAGTGAGAAAACCTAGCCCTTGTACTCAATTTCCCCTTCACAAGGGATAAACAGGCAATTACGCATCCTTTTATATTTGATGGCCAAGTGCTGAACTGGAAAGCACACTATTAGTTTGTGTCCCTTCAGGGCCAGTGCAATAAGTAGCCAGGAGAGCTGGGGGTGACGCAAAGAGGGTGTTGTCTGCTGTTAGTGTGACAGTCTTGTCAGCAGCGTTCACATTACTGGAAGGTGATAAAGTGACGAGTAAGTTATTAGAAAGATATGAGGTGAAATTGAACTGAAGCTTCACACTGCTCAGACTTAGCTTTTTCCTTTCCTCTCTTGTAATGTTCCACTGTTTGTTATGAACTGAGCCTTGTTCCAATACCATATATAAAAGACACTTTTCCCCCTGCAGTAAAGGTCAAATGAATTTATAACAACATTTTAGAGGAGAAGAATAAGTATAGTTTTATGACAACTATAGTGTGTTTCATCAAAAATATATATAGCATTATAATGAGCAATAATGCTGATCCAATTCAGTGTACTTGTAAAAATGCGAAGTTGTTTTAAACCCTCTGTTATCAGGCATTTGAATTTTCCAACAAATGCCCAAAGACAGTATTTGATGTCCAGTTATTGCAGAATAACTATAAAAATAATTTTGTGCAAGGTGTGAGAAGGATGGCAATGGATGGACACTGGCTTGGAAGGGGCATGCGGGCAAGAGCAGCGGCAGATGATGCAGTGGGCAGCATTACAGCTATAGCTGTGACACTGCTGGACAATCATCTTTATGGTGAGAAATTCTGCAATTACAAGAAACCCAGAAATGATTCTGGGACAGATCAAATATGGTCCTAGTAGTAATAGGAGCATGCCTGTTTTGGCTCCGAGGGAAAATACAGAAACAGAAGTTACTTCTATGCCTCATAGTTCAGTGTATTGAGCTCCAGCTTTGGTCAAGAGATCAACAGCCAAGTGCTATCATAATCATGCCTTTGTGTGTTGCTACAGCAACAAATGAAGGCAATGATGGGCGATGGGACAGCTCCATGCTGGTACTTTCCACTCATAGCTACAATCCACTCGTGATTTGAAGTAGGTTTCACCACTGGCCATTTTTGAAACCTAAGTGACCTCTTTTATCTTTTTGCTCTAAAGGGACTTCAGCATCCCTTCTAACTCAAAACCAATGCAAAAATAAATTACCTCACACCTCACACTTCTGCTACCACATGGCTGTTCTAACTTGCTCATGTTCAACTCACCTGGTCACTGGGAACTCTGTAGGACACAACATGAATATATTATCACCCACTGCCAGAGAGAGCTATACCAGACTCTACTCTTGCATTAACTTTCCTTTTCAAGCTATCCTCAACCAGAGCGGGAGCCAACCCTCTAGGAGAACTAGTCTTTCAGAAGAAGAACTAGTCTTTTGGGCTTTTACTACCCTCCTTACTCCATTGGAAACATCCTGTTAAAAAACAAAGAACAGGAGGCAAAGAAACCCCCCACCCCCAAATTTAGCTATTTCCAGTTTGGGGAAAGGTTAAGAGATTCTTTCTAAACTAAAAGTTGTCATACTTTTAAAAAGCAACTCTTAAAAATAGGGTGTGTCCTCAGGATGAAAGCTTCTGTCCTGGACCATCTGGTTCTTTCTGATAGCAAGAGCAGTGCAACTTAGGACAATTGGATTCTATTTACTGTGTTACTCAACCTAACCCAATGTTAGAAGACCAGAAGCAAATCAGGAGTAGTCAGGTGAAGCTGTTAAGTAGTATTTATTAAAGGCCCCTTTTTCATTTTCTTGGTGTACCTCTGGCATGTGAGAAAAGGTTCCATTTTGAATGAGTGGGAACCTAGCGCATAGTTTCTCCTGAATAAAATGAGGAAAATGCCTTGGACCAGTCCATTCATATATACATATATATTTCCTCTTCTTTCAAAAAGAAAGGCATATACTAATAGGGCTGTTAACTATTTCAGTGTCTTCCTCCTCTTAACTGGAAGTCTAGAAATCAAATAGCCAAATAAATCACTACAAGGACAGTGGCACCCTTGTACTAAAAACACTTAAAAAACAAAGTCAATATTGGGAAAGAAAGCGTTCACACTTTTAAATCTTACAAAAGCAGCAGGCTGAACAGGGCAGCTGCAATTAAGACCTTGAATGAGTTACACTGGGTTGGTTTCTTTAAATACAATTACTAGCAGAACATCAAGCTTTAAAATCACATTTTCCAAACCAACTTACTTATGCTCTATCCTTTCTCTTGCTCCCTTTCTTCCACCTCCATAGCATGCAGATATTCCTGAAGGCAGAGTGAGCCTTTCTGATATTTACAAAAATGTAGCTTAAAATGATCAAAACAGTAAACGTCAACATCAGCTAGAGTGCATGCACAATAATATTACCTAATTTTGAACCTGTGACAAAAGTCTGGTTAAAATCAATCAAATGGGAAAAGGCTACATACATGGATGAAAGTCTATATCCCTAGTAATTTGCAGCTAGCATGAAATGGGAGGCAGCTAGACAGAAACTGAAGAGAAACAGGAAACTCCTAGGAAGAAGTAAATGAGAAAGAACAGGCCAGGTTGAAGAGCTCTGTGATCAGAACGTTGATCTCCTTATCCTTCCATTTGCACAAAAGCCGCCATCTCCAGGAGAAGTGCAGTTAAGTCAAAACATGGCATTCTGACACACCCAAGAACAGGCAACACTTCGGGACCGTAACATTTGTACATTTTATGAGTTTAAATTTTATACACCACATCTGTCCACTTCCCTAGTCCCTTTTAAGAGGCTTTGTATTGAAAAATGCTATTCAGTTGAGAAGGTCACCATAACAATTGGGAACTTGAGGCACAAAATAGTAGCAAGTAAGGGACACACTTAAGAGTGTCAGCTGCCCAGGACTTAGTGCCATCTTGCTGACAAAAACCAGGGTCTTGTATTCATGTTTGCAAGCAAGGGGAATTCTGTTTCTAGAATCTATCTCCTTCTGGACTTTGCTAACTGACTATAGACATTAGCCTGGCTCTGGGCAAGAAACAAAACACTTGCTCTAAGCCTAGCTTATTTGCTGATGTGACCTCCTGGCATCTATTTAATTCACTCACTGGGGCCATCTGAATTTTGTACTTGGCATTAAATCAAGCAGACCAAACACTGATCTTGTAGATGAATTCTCATATCTCAACTAGGAGTGTATCTTGTAAGAGTTACTGAAATAAAAATGCATATTACTATTCTTAAATCTACCCACTCTAAAAGCTAGTTTCCATAATTTCTGTTGAGATAGTCAAAATATTTTTGCATTCTTTTTCAATCTAGTCATTCGGTTATGGGCAATAGCGCAATACAGAGAACGCTGTGAGGACCAAAATGTTTGCAAACAAATGTTCATTTTTCTAGTTCAATTTTTCACAAACATACTGTACAGAGTCTTATATGGTATAAAACAAAGGAAAACATCTCCGTCTACTCAATTTAACATAACACCAAAATAAAGCAATTAAGATTTTGGGGAATTCAAAGATACAAGAAAACAAAAACGGTTATTACTAATTCCTCAGCTTTTTACCGTAAACATTTGTCATTTAACAGAAATAGTGTTTGATATAGTTTCTTTGTACTGCAAATACTTTTGGTCTTTCCTCACTGTAAAACAAATGAAGAATCAAAGGAATCCCAATGCATGTTCACAAGGAGGTGAAGATAAAGCCCCTAGATATATCTAGCTTATCTTTAAGAACCTACTGTTTCTGAAATCTTCACAAATAAAAAATACTGGATCCCCAAGGATGATGCTTATTTTTGGGAACAATAAATACTGTGAGGTACAATAACTCCTACAAGAATAATAACAACAGAAACATATCAACAGTTTCCTTTGGCAAATTTAACGGAAGTGGATGCTGATGTGAACACAGAAAAAAAAATAATGAACAAAACATGAAAAATGGAAATGACAGGAGAAGTTGAAACAAAGGAATTTATCTAACTTTTAGACTGATGAGAGAAATGTCTGAGGCCATTAAATGCAGAAAAGAAATACATTCTCTTTATATTAGGTACTGTTTGATAAAACATTGTTTGTTCCCTCCCCCTTAAAAAAAGAAAAAAAAAAGACAAAACCCAGTCTGCAGTGCACACCCTAACGGTTTTGGCTGCAGCCTGAACTTGAGTAAATATCATCATTTAGTCAGTATGTTGTGGTAGCTGAGGCTGCCGATGTGGTTAACCAGCTCAGGCAACATGTGTAAACATCGGAAACAAAACAAAACAAAACAAAACAAAAAAGGTTTGGAGCAGAGCCTCCCCCCTCATTCTCACTCTCAATTGCTTGGTTTCAGGCTTGCTTTCATTTCTCTCTGTGGGGAAACACAAAACACTACACAGTGAGATTCTATCGTAACCCCCCCTTCCCCTGCCTTTTGGAAGGAGTGTTGCTCAATTCAAGTTCAGCACGTGTGTTCTGAGCTTCCAAGTACTGCTGCTGTGAAGCAGGGCTTTTGATTTTGTCTGTCAAACAGGCCTGCGTCATTTGCCACTGCAAAATCGTGACAAATGAGATGGCCATACAACAGATCAACCCAGTTCAGACTTTTGTCTTTCTCTTCAAAGGAGAAGGGTGAGGGCCTTGGAAATGCGTATTCAACGCCTTTACTGTATTCAGCATTGTTCCATAGTGAATAACTTGGGCTTTTTGTATCCTGAAATATTATCCTGCCTCTAAAGAAGAAACGCCTTGGCTGTTTCACATGATATAATTTTGCTTTCCTTTTATGTAACTTAACATATAAGCAAGAAGGATGTAGTGCTGATTCTAATAACATTCAGCACTTGAAAGAATCACCAAGGTTTTTTTCTCTTTTTCTTTTTTTCCTCCATCAAAAAAGCGGTTTTCTGGTGGCCAACAAATTGGCCTGTGGTTATGTTGAGTGACTAATTGTATTTTCTTTTCTGGAAACTTGTGCAAAGTTGGCAGTTTTGTGTTAACACTAATACTTTTGTTTGGCATTTGTGCCCTATACTGACCAGACCGTTTTTATACAAGTGGATTTTTTTTTAAAGACACTTACTGAAGTATGGCAACAGTTTAAGGATAAAAAAGAAGCATGGATATTACACATCCCCTCGTAGTGTATGAAAAAAGTGCTTGACTGGATTTATGTACTAGTACAGGACATTTTAAAAAATCAGATCTGTGCTGTAAAGCATGCCAGCACCTCTTTATCACTACATCTAACAGGTAGTAAAAACAAGACCATGTTCTTCTTTTTTAAAAAAATGTGCATTAATGCTAACATAAATGAATAGAGCTAGCCAGCAAACTAGTTTTTTCCTGCATATCTAACAGCTGGATGTAACTGTCAAAATTAAACAAAAGAGTTAAACAACCATCAATACAATTGTTTTACATCATTTGCCTCTCAAGGCTAAATATTTACAGTGAATCTGCCATGCTTTAATTGAAGATTCTCTCAAAATCTTAAAGTTCACAAAAGACAACGGTAAGAAGTTCCTTTTTGTTTCATTTTTCATTTCTTTTTCTCCCTTTTGTTTTTGTTTTGTTTGTTTGTTTTTGCAGGCAACAGTCATGGGCACAACAAATTGTCTCTTTGGAGAAGACCAAGAATTACTCTATCAAAATTGGGGCTGGTTGAATGCTTTGCATGTGTATGTGTGTTTAAAGGGGTCCTTTGTTTTCAACCCCAAATTAAAGACTCCCCATTCCAATACCTATAAAGGAAAAAAATTCAAAAGCACCTAGTGTTTATCATTTTTATCTAAAGAAAACATGTGTGTGTGTGTGTGTGTGTGCATGTGTGTGGACACAGGCATACATATGCACATACATACACACCCTGGCCATGTACGGAAGCACACTGACTAGGCAGTTCAAACATGTAGGCCATCTGGTGAAAGCTGGCATTTGTAGTGTCAATTCTGGGACTAATCTATGGAAGTGAAGGGAATGTTTTTGTGGAGATTAGGGTTCTGACTGTGCCGATTTCGGCTTCGCACAGAGGAAAACATCATATTGCAACCCGGGACTTTGCACTTGTGCATTTCTCGCAGATGCACAGTTTTGTAGTGCACCCTCAGAGTCCCCTTGTTGCTGTACATTTTGTGGCAAATGTTGCACATGATCCCACTATTGCTCCCAGACAGGGTGCTGAACATGAGAGATCCTGAAACTTCAGCCCCTAGGCTGCCAGGGAGGGCTAGGGCCTCAGCCTTGTGTGCCGACTCCCCACTGTCACTGGCCCCATCAATGTCATCGAGAAGAATCCCCTCGTCACTGCCTGCATCAGATTCTCTGGAGGAATGGATGCTGCTGCTGGACTGGAGGCTGGAGGTGGTGCTCAGGTCAAGGACCATGTAGTCCTCTGCCATGCCTCTTCCATACCCATTCAGGTGGGAGTCTTCTGTGCCTGCGGGAGAGGAGGCATCTTCCCTGACATCGAGCCCCAGAGGGTGCTGAGCCCCATAGATCTTCACCAAAAATTCATCCCGGAGGTCCTTGCTAAGGGAGGGCTGCGATGAGTCCAGGCCCATGTCATCGAGTTCTTTGGTCAACAGTTTACGATGCAGATTTATGTTGGCACTGTGTCTAGGAAAATAAGAGGGAAGGGGGTAGGTGTACAGGGAGTGGGGAGGGTGAGAAAAAGGAGAGCATTTTAAAATGGATTCAGCTTTCACTAGGCATCCAATAAGCATATTTATTCCTAATTATGCCCTTTTAAAAGCAAGCATTTCCCGACATCATCAGGATCTGGGAGTAAGTGCTGGTGGTAAGGGTGCAGGTAGGGAAACTTCCCATTAAAATAATTCTTTTAAGAGAAAAATTCTTCAATGGTAGGACAAATGCAAACCCATGCACCCTTTTCTCAATGACTGTTACCTTAAGGTTGCTATGCAGCCACCTTCAGCCACAGAGGACCTTACAGCAGATATACAATAATAGGATCAAAGAACAAAAACTTTCTGTGTCTAAATTTCTGTTTGTCTAAGTTTACCTACCTAAAATCAAATAAAAAAACCCTACCTTTATAAAATACAGTAAACACTGCATTTAAGATATAAAAAAGATATACTTTAAAATGAATACGTGGTTTAGATAATTTGGGTTATGATAACTTCTTTCTTGTACATTGCAAGTTTGGAGTAAGAAAAAGTAGGCTTAATAGATTAGCAATTTCAAATAGAGCTAAAATACTGTCTTTACTAACATCAATCTCTCTCCTTAGAGTGATCAGGGATCCCAGTTAAATTTAACAGCAAAATATATTTATTTTTCAGAAGTTGCTGCATTTTAGTATTGAAATGTTTTCATCAAATATTTCTATTTAAAATTTAATTTTCTAAAACAAAAGCTAAAGACTGATTATTTTTAAAATACAACCCACCAAGTCTTTTTTAAAGCACATTAAACAACAGAAAAACCCCAAAGGACAAAATTAAACACAATAAGTACAAAATTTTATCAAGCACAACAATGACATTTGGTCCCTCTATTTTAACAACTGAAACCCACATTTCTTAGACAAGCAAAACTTTCACTCTATTCAGAGTGCTTTGCTTGTATTAAAAAAAAAAAAGATAGGATTTGTCCCAGAGCATCTTTAAGGATGTCATGATTTACAAAGCCTGATATGTTATTATTTATCTGAAAACATTGCCTTTGTATTTACATCCCCCATTGATTTTTAAAGTGCCCTTGGGCATATACCTCTCTCCACCTGCAAAGGCTCAGATATTTGACAAGTATCTAAATTGAACGCTACCCTTCCAAAAATAAACTCATACATAAACAGAAATAAAGCTTCTCAATACTAGAGGAAGCTCTACATCTTGAAGAAGTAATTGTGATAACAGAATTGACCTAAATGGCTGGTATAAAGTTCAACAGACCTCTTGATTTTAATCAAAAAGTATAGAAGACTAGAATAAGTCACTCCATTTGGTGACAAGCATAACCAGTATCTCCTAGAGATGGGTGAGAGGTATGTGCCTCAGAGACAAGAAAGGTGAGAGATACTTCTCCACCTTTCCACACAAGACAATAGATAGCACTCTGGGTGGAAGGGGCAGAGGGTAGCAGCCCTCTCCACACTGCACTTGGGAAGGCTGAGCTTACCTTGTGACAATAAGATCAGCTTTCTAATCTTTTGCTAAATCGATCACAAAAGAGGGCAAGAATGAGAGACAGAGAGAGAGAAAAAGAGAGAGAAAAAGAGAGAGAGAAAACAAATTCACATTCTAGACATCTGGTTTTTAAAAAACTTAAACAATAAAATAGGGATTTAAATGTTCTGATCACAAAATTACTTTCTGTCATAAGCGATCATCTCATTCACTGTCTTGATGATTTTCAGATCAGCTGCATAATCCAAAAATCATATAGCAAATTACAATAAACCAAATTCACAGCATCATCACCAACATCAAACAAAAATGAACTCCAAACAGATTCATGCAGTGTGTGGATATGTGAATGATAAACGGAGGTGGTCCCCACGGTCAGTCCCTGCTCTGACAGTCATTCCCCCTTTCCTTGGTGTCAGATGGCAGATAACTCCAAGTGCAGGTTGCTAAGCAGAGTGCAGGAAATGCTTACTAAGAAGTCTATGCTATGACATGTAGGGACAGCACCATCGGGTTATAACAAGAGTGTGGAAATAGAGTTACACTCTGTACTAGTACTCCATTAATAAAACAATCTGCCTACTATAAGCAGCTTAACCCTCCCATTTTACAATCTTTAACACCCTCCCCACTTTTCTTCATTTTTGCCTTGACTGCAATCTAGAACTCAATGTTGTTTCTCACACATCTGTAGTCACCACTTCCTAGATTCACTGCTGAGAAAACAGCAGCCAGACACACAGCAGTTGCATCAAGACACACTGAATAAGGAAGAATAAATTAACATTGACAAAAGGACATACTGATCACCCAGATGGACACCTCTCCCCTAAGATGACTTGTGAATTTACACATCTCTACTGCTATGTTACCAGGAAGAGATTTTTTCTCTTCACTTCTCACTTACAGAAGTCGAGATCTGTAATCTAATTAGATGATGTACCAGCCCTCAATATCTGTCAACCAAACGATGTGCAGAAATGTGTAGACCAGCTCTGGCACTCTGCTCAACAGTGTCCCTTTTCCGCTGTCAGCAGTACTGCTGGCCTCTGCTAATATAATTACATTGACTTTTATTCAATTAAGTGCCATCCCTCCCTTTGAAAAAAAAGCTACTTTATCAATTGATTCAGGTGTAATGCAATAATAAAGATGAACTCATGGCAGTGCATTAGTTCTGCTGTTCATAACTTCAGTGCACGGGTTCATTCATGGTAGTCGATTTCCATTATGCAACCACAGTTCAAGAGAATTGATTCTTTTATGTTCATTTCTTAATCTATTTCATTTTTGTTTAATAATCTTCCTAAATGCCATATGCAAAACAGCTGAAATGGGGATGAGAAGAATGGGTTGTGGAAAACTGGCTGGTTCATTCTCCTGACAGTGAACTTGGAGGTTCTTTCACAAACAAAGTTCCTGGGGTGGGAAGAAGGAAGGAAAAGAAGGAAGGAGACAGCACAAAATTCTTTGGAGGGCACTGGTTACTGATGCTGGTCCTCAAGAGCCTCCCCAGAATGGACAAAAGGCAGCACTTGGATTTCACAAAGACCTATTGTTGGACTCTCAAGTCAGTCAATGCAAACCATTAACTGTTATAAAATACTGTCCTCAAGAGGTATAAAGACCTGGGGTTAATAGCAATTTGAAGAATATTATACGTTTATTTGGATCAGCAAAACTGAAGAGGTGAACAGTAAGATAAAAGAGACACAGGAAGAAATCTCCTATCTTGACAATTATATATAGAGAAGAGAATCCTGAAAAGGAAATGCCAGACAGTGCTGGAAAATTGGACAGCCCCTGAGACAGGAAGCTGTTGTATAGAACAAATGGAAAAAAGATTCCATGAAGCAACAATTTTTGAGTTCTCTAAAATTTGTTCTAGGACATTTAGTGTTCTGAACATTTATCTTCAGGAAAGAAAGAATAATGATTAATGAAATCTACACTGAATTAAAAACTACATTTTATAGGTACATACATAGCATAAAACTGTTTATATTTGATCTGACTGGGTAGAAGATGCAGATGGAGAGGATGGAGTAAGAAAATAAGTTTCCATGGGAAAAGAGTAAGGATGAACACAGTGGTCCAAAACTTGGCCCTAAGAGGGATACTTTCAAGAATACAGGCCACATCTAATTTAAGCTGTGTCCTTCAGACCCAGCAGAATTACTTCGTACACAGGAGATATCTGAAAGAACATTTATTTGCCTTCAATCAGGAAAAATATGTGAGTCTTAAAAGAAGCTTTTCCCAAAATGTACTGCAGAAAGAAATAAAATAATCCTGATGTAGAAACATGTAACAGTGTATTTGAGAAAAGACACAGGTAAAATACCCACAATGTGTTGCAAGGGAAAGCTACAAAATTAGGGCACAAAAAAGGCCTTTAACTTGAGCTATGCTTGGAATTACGAATATTTCTTTTCTCTGAAGTTCTGTACTCTTTCTACACTGTGAATTTATCAGAAGCCTCTTAAGGACTACGATCACAAAGAGGAAAAAAGAAATAAAAAGAAAAAAGTAATAAAGTTTTGGATTGGGGGGATGGTGTCAAAACCCTAACCACTACTTCTTCATTTGGAATGCTGAGTGTAAGTCCTGTGGAACAACCAGTGAGTCTAGTTCTGTTTCCTTAACAAAACTTCACTACGCAGTTACAGAAGACATGGAATTCATCCTTAGAGAGGGTAGGTATCTGCATCCTGATTTGCACATTTTATCCTCATGTCTCTTTTCTTACTCGTCCAAATGTTCCATTTACATGAATATAATGTTTCATAAAAAACAGGATTTGTTTAAAAGAAAGGAGTTTCCAGTTTTTATATTTAACTTTGAGACCAGGCAAAAACATTGTTTATTTTTTTTAAACTATTTTTCACTTATTTTTTAAAAATAAAGTCTCATTACTAAGTTAGAAAACCAGTCTCAGTCAGAAATGAACAGTAAATTAAGCTACATATGACAGGAAATGTCCATCACTTAACTCTTAATTCTTATTCTTTTTTTTTTCTTTGTTGGTCATGGGGCCTGAACTCTGGGCCTGGGCACTGTCCCACAGCTCTTCAGCTCAAGGCTAGTGCACTACCACTTGAGCCAAACCCCATTTCTTGCTTTTTCTGTTTATGGGGTTTATCGAACCCAGGGCCTCATGCATGCAAGTGCTGCAAGCACTCTACTACTGAGCCACCTTCCCAGCCCTAACTCTTAATTCTTAATCAGGTTTGAACCATTCTGAATTCAATGAATTGAACACTTGATAATTAATTACAATGCCTTGGAAAAAATGGACTATTTTTCTTTTATGTTCCTGCTTGACTAGGTTATTCAACACAATACGGATACCTAAAATGTTCAAGAAGTATTGTCTAGAGTGATCATAGTAGATAAGTGTGTGTTTGTGTGTGTGTGTGTGTGTACATGTATACATCTGTATGAATTTTCAGTAATTCACTGATA